CACAAAACGAAACTAAGAGCATCACCAAGACCACGACCTTATGAGCAACCGGGGAAAATCCCAAGACCACGACTTTAGGTCAAAGTCCCAGACCATGACCTTAAACCAAAACTCAAGACCATGACTTCAGAATCCAAGGTCATGACCTTCGATCAAATTCCAAAGCCACGAACTTGGGAAAAATCAAGGTCGAAGACCAAAGTCCAAGGGCACGATATTGGGAAACCTCCTTGGCCATAATCCAAAATCGAAGGTCACGAGCTTGGAAAAAACAAGGTCGATGTTCAAGGCCCAAGGGCACGATAGCGGGAAACCTCCTTGGTCAAAGTCCAAAACTAAAGGCCACAACCTTGTCCATGTCCAGGACATTGTCACGTCGCAAAATCCAAGATGGCGTCTAGTGCCGGTGGCTACTGTCCGAAAAACGTTTCATGGTATCCTAGTGAAAGGTTTCACTAAAAGAAACTGGTTTCTATAAACGATAGTGGGTGGTTTGAGAGGAGTTTTATCTTTCATAGTAATAATTAAATAATGCTTCTCAACTAAAGGAACTGTTTTCTGCAAGCTACTTCTCTTTTTCCCTGCCCTTTATCGAAATCGTGACGAAATGGGAGTGGGATATACAAAGAAAATGGTTTTATTCTAGTAAAAGCTCTAAACTAACCACGGTATTCCTCCTTGACCATTTATCGAGATCGGTTATAATTCCTCATATTACAAGAGGGGAGTAGGAGGAGGGTACTAAAGGCAATTAATCATCTGGACGAGACATTAATTGACCATGTCAAAATGTTAAATGCAAATATCTCAAATACGCATTGTCGGAGGAGGGTATCCTCAAATGGCGTTTGCAACGTTTGGACGAGACATATCTACTGCAGGCGATGTGAAATCTCTGAATACCTCGAAAATGGAGTGTAGGAGGAGAATGCCATATTGTACCGAATTTTTCTAAATATGAATAGCATGGTAAATAGGTAAATAGGATTTAAGTTTCAATAACATTTATAATACTTACTTTACAAAACTGAATTAGCATGATGACCCAAACCCGTTATCATCCCTAACCCTGAAAATAAGCAGTTCTGAAAACCGTCATTTGTGCATTTAAAAGAATTAATGGCTTTGCTTTGCACTAGTGACACTAAGGATTTGTTCATCGTGTTTAAATTAAACTTAATGAACTTCCATGCAATCACTTGTATTTCCAGAGAAGGTTATTGGATAAGTTTAACCAAAACTTTTTTTCTTTACCAAATGCACAAAATGTGGTAAAGGATGTGCACTTCTGGGTCAATAATTAGGTATAAAATGTAGGTAAATAAATTGTCGGCATCCGGTACCCGCGCATACCTTACTTAAATGGGCACTAAAGGCAAAAATATCACACAGTTTCGTGCGTAAAAAAAATAGTAGGTATGCAAGCAACTGGTGTAAATTACAGCACGCTCGATGGATTGCATAAGCAAGAGAGTTGCTTCACCATTGTTCTATTGTACATAAATATATCATATCAAATTGTGAATTGATTTCGGGAGGGATAATCTTTGCCAGATTATATTTTTCGACCATATACTCTATGAATAAAGAATGCAGTGGAATTACAAACCGTTAAACTGCTTTAAAACTGTCGCTGCTGGATAAATCTTGAATTCAATCCGAAGTAGATACCCCGTGGCTATCACAATTGTTTAAACAGTATTTAAACAATGCATATACCTATAATAAATGCTAAAGTAAGCCAACTCGCATTTTGTTAAGAAATGGTTTGCATATAAGATGAGAGATAAACTCAAATTTAATATCGTTACAGGAAAAACTAATAAATTACCCGTTAAGTAATATTAAAGTACTTACTTCCTCTATAATAACGAATATAAAATAAAAGCTTCAATACGTAATTATTATACGTAATTTAATTCAGGTGAATTCTGCTTTGTTTATGAAGCTATTTTTTCATAAACAAAGCAACAAAGCTTCTACGTTTGGTCGTAGCCTACCGATAGGCTACGGTTTGGTTCACTAAATTTAATGGACGTACTCTACTTATACAGTGTGCATTTATACTTTACCTACTGTAACTGAAAGATTCAGAAACACGATTGGCAATCTTGTAAAATACTAAACCAATCCAATCAAATAATTTAATAATTAAAAATAGCATTATAAGAAAAAGAAATATTTAAATGCCGAAATGGTGAAGTTCTGGTAGTTCGAGTGCGGCGACGTTAGTTCCGAGTCTTTGTGATGCTTTCATAATGTAGTGTAGATGCGTAAATTGTTGGCTTTTGAGATAATTATACTCCATTTTCAAAAGTATGTTATATCAGTCATAAATTGGCTGATAAAGTTGAAGTTGCAATTCGAGTGTGCTTTTCCGAGTTTGCTTGTACGGATCGTATTGAGATGTCCCAATTGATCAACACAATTATCTAATTATTAAATATTGTCAATCAACACATATCCGAACGAATTCAATTAAATACTATAGTCCATTTGGTATTACCATTGTTTAAATACTTTAGTATTTAAACAATGGTATTACTAATCCGATGTGTAATTAACCCCACTAAATGCAGCATTAACTTTTTTTTACCTCACGTCGTCGATTAAACATAAATTCCCTAAAACAAACTGCAACGCGTTCTTGTTGACGTGCCGAATAAGAATGAACAGAATAAAGTACCGCAACGGTTAAGCGATTCTAGGTCGTATTGCTTACGTCAAAGAGTATTAATTGAGGTGAATTTCGCTTGCATCCAGTTTTTGTTTACAGTAATGTTGTTTACGCCTACCTGATGCCAATGTAAACTGCAGTTCTAAAAACTGGATGCAAGCGAAATTCACCTCAATTAACATTCTGTGATGTAAGCGATACGACCTAGAATATGGTAGTGGATTGGCGGTATACGGGATTATAACTCCCCTCCCCCCCCCCAGCATAATTTTGTTTCCAGATTGTTTTGGTGTGTCCATCCCTGCTTTTGGGATGTAATTCCGTTCTCGGATATACGCGCAAACAGGTTTCAAGAATTGGAACCTAACTCGATAGGTGGCCATGTAGGACTTCGGTAGTTGGACAATTTCTTCTGTTGAGACCAGTTCCCAAAATGCTACCCAACATGCTGAAACATTAAGTTCTGCATTACCGAAACCAAAATGTTCTTGTCCTAGTGAATTATTATAGTGTAGTAGTGTAGTAGCCATAGCCAACAAAACAACAAAAACAGTAATATCAACAGTAAAATTGTTCTCTGTCAATGGACCACCATTTAATCCATACGAGTTTGGAAAGTTTGCAAAACAATATGACCTTAGGTGTATGATGGAAGGAACGAGTGAAACTGTAAAAGGTGTGATCACTAAAGCGTACAAAGACGGTCAAGACCCTTTTTAGCAACGATACAGTACAGTGCAACTCCTAAACACGTCTTACCTTCTCCTTGTTTGTTAGCAATGGGTCGCATGATTAGAACTACGTTCCCAGTAACTATTAAAAACCTCAAACAAAAATATCCCGCAAACGGGGTGAACAGTAAACTGGAAGAAACGCAAAAAGAACAGAGAATAACACAAGAGAGAAAAATTGTCAAATTTTTAAGAACTAAGCGTATTAATCGTTTTGTGTTAAAAGATTCCCAGATATCAAATTTCTTCTAGATCAGACCTTGGGAGCATATCCAAAAATGGCTACATAGAGCCACTCCCTATGTGTTACAGTTTGTGCGAAAAAATTAGAAACACAAGTTTTGTAATTTGAGAGCCTATAATTTCTAGACGAAACGTTTTGGAAACTTGGTTTATTTAAGGGCTTTGTTTCCTTCTACCTCCCATGTTATTTTAAATACTTGTGTACTATACAGTGTGTTTCATAATTGAATGTCAATATTGAAGGGGGAGATTTTTGGGACCATTTTAAAAAGAAAACTTCATATGAACCTATGTCTTAAACGTCTTAACTTTTGAGATACAGGGTGGAAAAGTTTTCAAAAACAAATCATTTATTATTAATATCTGTAATACCACTTTAGATAATTTAATGAAATTTGGCATGTAAGTACTATGTATCCAAAGGCATTTTTTAACGTACCAAATTTTTTTAATTTCCACCAGTGGCGTTGGTACGGAATTTCACATGCCCATTGGCAGACATTGATGGTACGCCACTGATTTTTCTTGAAATTTCCAATCATTTCTAAGCAAATTTGATCCCTTTGTTTTTTCAATCCGATGCACGGTTTTCGCTTAAAAAAATAAAACCCGTTTCTCTGCATGATCATGAGTTCATGACAATCATGCAGCGAAAACGATTTTCTTTTTAAAATCGTGCGTCGAATTGAAAAGATCAAGCGATCAAATCTGCTCATGCTTCGTACTTCGAATTTTGGAACTTTTTGAATAAAACATTAAGAAAACTATAAGTACTTAAGTAAAAAAGAATATTAATTCTGTTGACGAGTTTTTATTATTTAAGCGAAAACCGTGAATCAGATTGAAAAAAACAAAGGGATCAAATTTACTTACAAATGATTGAGGATTTCAAAAATAATTTTTATTTTGAGAGAAAGCAGTGGCGTACCATCAATGGCCATGTGAAATTCCGTACGAACGCTACTGGTGGAAATTAAAAAAATGTGGTACGTTAAAAAATTCCTCTGGATACATAGTACACACATACCAAATTTCATTAAAATATCTAAAGTGGGATTACAGATATTATTAATAAATGATTTATTTTTGAAAACTTTACCACCCTGTATCTCAAAAATTAAGACGTTTCGGACATAGGTTCATATGAAGTTCTCCTCAAAGTTTTCTTTTTAAAATGGACATTCAATTATGAAACACTCTGCATAACTATATCATGTGTAAAAGAATGCATATCGCATACGTATGTTAAACACCAGGTTAAACACGAAGCATTCGTTCTGAAAATGGTGTGCTTCCCCTAATTCTGACACACTAAGCTGCCCTCACCAACTAATAGGGGTTCTCGTATGTAGGGGTACGTAATACTTTTATTTTAAATGTAGGAAAAAAAATTATAAACCTAAATTTGCATGCCGTATAATCTTGTAGCCTAACTCATTATTAGGTATACCACTGTTGCATTGTTGCAGTCATGCATTTTTAACCACATGACACCAACATAGCCAGTAAAGCCATATTTGTAAATCAAGTTTGATATCTACCAAATCAGAAACAGGAAGTGATCCCAAAAACCAGCTGTTTTTGAACTAAATAATATAAATCGACATCCGGTGTGGTGGTCATTAAACAGTGTTTGAATATGTTTGTAACTACCACGAGTGACCAAACAGTTTCTTGCACATACAGCTATTATCGTTCTTGTTCCGTTACGCAATAAATTGTCTGTTTCCCTTAATATTTAAACTAAGCATAAGCTCTCACAAATTGGGACGCTAAAATTTATTTTTATGCCTTAATTGGTAGTGTCGTTGTAGATGTAAAAAAGTAAAGCAATAAAAACCGTTTGAACTGTACTTTTAAGTTCTTTGAGATGAAATTTATGCCGTACGACAAAATATGCCGAGTTACTTAACAAATTCCGCGAAATGTACATTTCAAGCTTACTTACATTAGGTACATACAAAATAGAATAAATTATTCAATAAATAACTTTGCAAGTAATGAGAACATTTCACCGGGAGGAATGAGGTGCATACGCGCTGTAGGCAATTTTCTGTGCTTGCTCTTTGTCGTAGGATCGCGCCCAGGTTGAACCACCCGCGCCCCCAGAACCGGCGACAACGACTTCGTGGCCAGAGTCTGATCCGCCTCCATGTCCTCCGAATAGTTTCTTTAAACCCAATACTCCAGCTAATACCAGAGCAATCTTTGCCACAATTAACGCCTTTCCTGCTAAAAGCGCCAAGCCGCCCAACGCTATCGGTACAAGCGTTCCTACCAAGATTAATGGAAGTAAAAGCAATCCACCCATTCTATTCTTCTTCTTTCGCCCTTCATCACTTAGCGACCGTTTAATGTCACTAGCGCTGGGCAATTTAATCTGCAAATCGACCACATTACAAGACGTAAGAGATTTTCTCTCATCTTACCTGAAGTGAATGAGTATCGAAGAAGTTCACGAATCTCTCCACGATAAGCTGATTGAGCGCATCGTCGCGATTTAATTCGCGAGGAAGGCTAGCTTCGATTTCGGCAACAGTTTTTGGCGCCGCCGGTTCCGGTGCCTTACTGTCCTTCACAAAAGTAACACCCTCCATGACAGATACATCATTAAACGCTCGTAACGCACGATCCATTGCAGAAATTAACTTTAACTTAAGACACGGTGATAACTCGGACGCTGCACATTCTCGATACACTTTATAAGCGTAGTGTAAGTCGCCGAAGTGCGAACTGGTAGATGCTTCAGATCTAGCTTCATGTGGTATATCGTTCAAATTGGTCGATGCGGTACGTGCCCATGCTATCGAGACTAATAGTGTGACAACAAAACACTTTAAAATCATTGTAATAACTACTAGAAATTTTCTTACACCACTAACCTTATATAGTGATTAAAGTCCCTCCAAAGAAAATGAACTTTATTTAGGATGAAGAAGTTTATCCCCTCTTTGTGGCCAGATTTGTTTAACCATTGCATTAAGTCCCCTCAGCCCCTTTAGAAACGCCTCTTTTACTACCTTGACATTGACCGAGACCAAAATAAGATCTAATTTCTTTAGTCACATCCTTTATGTACGGTGCGTGACGACATGACACGTAAAGATATTGTAATGCTGTGCACTTGCATTACCATGCACTGCACATACTGCAAGTAGACCAACACTAGTATTGTCATGACAAAAAACGGCCGGCGTCGTGCTTAGAATTAAACGTTATTCAAAATTAAGGACAAGGGCATCCGAAGCAAGATCAAGAGAAACTTGTTTTCTCGTAAGGGCCACCCGTACATTCATCTTATCGACCTAGTTTTACGTAACCGCTCTTCCGAGATAACCAGACGCAATAATAAAAGTAGAAACTTATTATCTAATATAATGTAACTTTTGGACGCAAATATAAAAAGTATTATTAACCTTCTCGATTTCATTGGAATGCCAAATCGAGGTACGAATTCGTCGGCCGTTGCACTGCAAGTTGGATCCGTGATCTTGACTTTCTCGTTTGAAAGTAATGAAGTGTGTTTACTCCGTTTCTTTCGCTCCTTTGGGTGTGCAAAGGGTGCATGCAACTTTATCTTTGTTTAATTCTAACGTCAATGCCCCAGTAACCGTATTTGGATTTTTTTCGATCGGTCGAATAAGTGCTTCCACAGTGGTTATTAGACATGCACGGCTTGATTAGGTTAATTTCACTTATGAACAGAAACATGCCTTTACTAATATTAAACATGGTAGGATCTAACAGTTTTTTTCGGTTTTGCATGTAATAAGAGAAAACAACAACTGAAAGTGGCCATTTTCATTTTCATGTTGTTACATTTCCATTGGGCTTTTAATTTCAGCTCGAATAAATTAACCGCCTTGCCTTGCACGCCATTTACATTGACAAGTCAATTGAAAAGATGCGTGTAAAATAAGAATATTGGTACGGCCAAATTTAGTATTGTTCATTCAGACATATGGATGGACTACAATCAAATTATGTAGGTACGAATCGGTTTACATACTTTCAACACATGGATTATTTCAGACAAAACTAAAAACTAGCGCTACAAATAAAATGGATTTGAAATGAAAAATTTAAACAAATGTCGGCACTAATTGACCTCAATTTTAACTATTGACAAAACCGATTTTAAGTCCGTAACATTAAAATGGCCAGCACACAAATTTCTCTCAAAAAACAAATTTTATTTTGTGTACTGCAACGTTCTATTAATCACTTCGTCAAAATAAGCTCAAATTTTCCCGTATATAATTTACTTATGTACACAACCCACTGACGGCAAATTATAATGTTAATATGAGAAAACAAATTTTATTGTATTAGAAAATTACTTGATATAATTCTATGGAAAAGATAAACAATTGTCATAATAATAAATACAACTTAATTTTTCCTGTGTGACCAAAGTATGCCAAAACCACTAAAGAAAATAACCCAAAACCGGAAAACAAAGGAATCATCACAAATCTCTTCAAAATTTATCTAATACTTGTACACAGAGTGTAAACATATCTTTAAAAAAATGTGGATATAAAGGATATCAACATAAACATTTCTTCTAACAAAATGTAGAGTCCAAAACGTTTCGTCATTAGAGATAAAAATATACTATGAAAATATTTGGATTTGTCAGAAAAATAATGAACCAAAAATTCATTAAAAAAATTGCAAGTTGCAATAAATTTCTTCCCCGGAAAAACAAAGGTAACAATCGAATAAAAAAAAATGACCAGGGAAAACTGGCTTTCCACTTTGTTAACGCACAAGGTAGTGTGACCGAGCTTTTTATTTTTCAAATAAATCTAAAATTTTTCCCATCCACAAGAACACCAGGCTAGGTTTTTTCCCTGGGACATTCTGTATATGTTTAGTTATCTTTGTTGGAATATTAATAATTTTAGATCCTATACAAACCGAGGCCAGGCTTTTAGTATGACACATTCTGTGTGCGTTGTCGGTCTAAGAATGACAGTTGAAAATAGGTATTCAATTATTCTAAAACTAACGTTGAATTCGTTATTTTCTTGTTTAAAAATACTTAAATTTCGTCGTGATCGGAGTTTCTTTTAATACATTTAAAAATGTATTGCAAATTCTCTAGTTCGAATTTTCTATGTGTTATATGGACTTATGGTGGTTGGCAAAAGAATTAAAAAATGCTTTTGAAGTCTGTAGCTTAGATATACTTTGATTTTGGCAATTGATTTAGTTCTTCTTTAAAGTAAAGTATAGCTACTTAGGCCTACTAAAAAGGAACGTGAAGACGACGCAATGTACATAACATCCGCAAGCGTTCTTTTCTTCTTCCTTCTATAACAGCTTTATCCTCGATTTTATTCCTCATTTTGGATCTAAATTGTCGCTTTGTCTTTTTCGTAGAGGGTGTCTACTGCGCGTATCTATAGGTGTATCGAAGCACCTGTTTTTCTACAGATATTACATCAGAATGAATGAACTCTCCGTATATTGATGGAAGCTACCAGCTCTAATGAACACCCGGTACTTAGACGAATGATTTCTAGCGTCGTGTTTTAGCCGCAGGTAAGGACAATCAGCTACCCGTAGAGATATTCAAATTATTTTTTGTATCATCCTACAGACCTCGTCATAGGGAAGAAGGGGAACAGATTTTAGTTTCCCAATGTTAAGCGTAAAATTCAAACTGCAAGGTCGTGCAGTTTACTTAATTATCGCAGACCTTTTGCGATTGACCCGGAATTCCACGTAAGAATGGACTACCGAATTTGAAAATTTTAAACCGGCCATTTAAGTGAGTATAATTAACTGCAGTTAATTAATTGTGTTGCAGAAAACTTCTACATTCCCTTTCCGTATTTTGGGAAGTTTATATAAGATATCCGCACAATTAAGGAGAATCTTTTTTTTTTAAAAAAAGGTGCACCAACTGCCGAGGTTATACGGCACCTATACCAATTGACATTACAATATTTAGATCCTTGAGAGCAAATAATCAGTAACCTTCAAAAAACAAAACAGTTTGTTAATGTCACCTGAGTCACTTAATAGACCTGACAGTGAGTTTGGTAAGTTCAAAACACTTCGGTGATAAGTAAACTTTGCGCACTCCGTTAATATGTGTTTTACACTTAGAGTTTTGTCGAACTGTTCACATCTTTTTATTTCATTCCTCTCCATAAGGTATCCATGGGTTAAGTTTGTATGGCCTGGGTTAGTTGATCTCTGCTTCCGTTGCGATTTGGGAAATTAACCGATATACGAACTACGTGACTCGGTAAATGATTAGTCAATTAATGCTTGAAGAGCGTACTGCCACTACACGAAAATTCAAAATCGAATAACTCAACAAAGCAGTCTGTGAAGAAGCACACATCGAGTTGGGTAACAACTATGAATTACGAACAAATAATAACTGTTGTCGTTGAAGTATTCCTTGAAGAGGAGTTATCCAATTAATTACTAACTTATTTTAATTCCAGTGTGATCAGGTTATTCTAGTTGACCCGACTGCTAGTTCCTTATCTGCTTCCCAAGCGCTGAAATTAATGCGGCTTAAATTTGTCAGTACAAATACTCAATAATAAAATATGAGAATTATGCACATTTTGAATAAACGCCAATATTGACAATAATAATAATAATAATAAAGTTTATTGTGTTTAGGTAATCAACAAGAATTTCATGCACTCGTCATCAAAAATCATGTGAACATTCCCCTTAAAATCTAACGTATTCGTTTTAATTTAAGAGCTTACTTCTTGTCCATATTAATCAATCTTTACGCATCCTAGACTTATCTGAAAGTTGGTTCCAAAAATTGCTGGAAAAAGCAAAAACCAAGATTAATATAATCAACCCACTTAAGCATAAAAGAAGGCACAAAACCGGACGACCACGTCGTCAGAAGATGTAATTCGGTGAATCCGTAGACGAAAATTTAAAACTGCAAGTCATTGGAAAAGGTTTATTTCTGAAGTGTTTGAAAATTGTTTGCATGTTTTGTACACAATACGCGCAATACTTTTTTCGCAACAGATAACAAATAAAAATATATTGTTCGAAATTATCTGACAGATAACCCAAATACCTACCACTTCAACGAAGATTAGTTACTTTTCAAATTCAGGAAGCCGGCTATTTAATCACGTAGATACTCAATCGTTAAAACCATACGAAGATAACCATGGCGCATGCAGTTTGGTTCCTTAGTTTGGTTATTGTGGCACTGTTCATCATAGAAGCATCTGGGAGCGGTTTTGGTAAGACCTTTCAGTACTCGTCTCAATTTTCACTAAACCTTTTAACATAGTATGCGATGTCAAAAGCGTTTATCAAATGAATAAGTGCAATAGCTGTAGATGCGCAGTACACAACAGCCAAAACGTTACATTTGCATGTACTCTAATGGCTTGGTAAGTAATCATATAATGAACTGATCTTTTTCGATTTTAATACATGACGTTTCAGTAATGGTAAAGTAAGTAAAAAACTTAGAAATTGTAACACAAACGAACGGTCAGCTTATAAAGATTGTTGGTGCCTTCAAACGTTAGGAACAATGTGCAAGATTTCACAATAAATAAGTACTTGTACTATACTTGGTGAAATAAGGTATTAACAGCTTCGTTAAAAACTGTTTAGACTGCATAAGCCCAAATAGGGTTCATTTATACCGCTAGCATATAATTTAAGACACCAATTTCTATTTAATTTCCCTTAAGGCTGGACAGTACACCCGTTCCGTTGCCCGAAAATACTTGATTTCGTTCCACGATATCTTAATTCTGAGTGAAGATGAAGAAGGGGTCGAATATTCCTGTGAAAGGTGAATGCTTTAGCTAGACAATAACGCCGGGGTTTACTAAAATGCTTTAAAATAAGCTTT